TTTATAAGTACTTAAAAGTAAAGGAGGAATGGCATAACAATGTCAAAGCATCTATCTTGTTAACAAATACTTGAGAGAGCGTGGTGAATGCAGGCCCACAAGAAGAGTTGTATCTAGCTTGATTTATGGGCTCTGTTTCCTGAAGTGGAAATCAGACAGACCTCAACACAAACTGCTATCGGTGATCCTGGGGAGAATCCCTTGATTTTGCATGAGAAGAGATCTGCCGGGATAGGTTTCTGTAATCTCCTCAGTGACCTGGAACAATCCTGGAACATCCCAGAAGTCTATAAATTAATCATGAGTTAATCAAGATGCAGATGAAGTATAAACAGGACAATCAGGAATACTTTTGGGATTATAACCAAGGACAAGCCACTTCTGAGAAAATTGTCTAGAAAATTCCATGGACTTGTCTGTGCAGCCACCAGGAGTCAAACCTGATTCGGGAGATGGGGGGCGAATCATGGTCAGAGAGGAAGCTATGCAAGACTCTAGAGGGATTTAATGGTCTCAAGCATTCCTTCGACCTCCTGCACCAGTGAAAAGGCACACTGCATGTACGTCCACAGCCAAGGAATAGCTTCTATCACAGTTGCTGGAATGGAAGAAAGAAGTAGAGGCCTTGCAATCCTGCAGCTCCCAATGACATCTTTTGGAAGAGTCATTGGTCTCTCCTTCTCTCTACCCAGAACTTTGGGCAGAATTTGTTTGTAATTCAGACTTTTTAATTGTTTTAGCAGTTCTTAATTTGGTTCTTCTTGTTTTTGTGTCATAGTCATCACTGTTTCAATGGTTGTGTTATTGCATAATTATTCATAGATTATACAATGTTATATTATATTAATGTTGAATGCCATCTTGACTGGGTTTGTTTTGAAATGCTGCTTAAAATATAGATAATTAGACCATTGCTAAACATAGGATTTGGTACCCTCTGTTTGAGAAAGAGTACACATATGACTTTCTAATTTTGTGTTCCATTCTCAACTTATTATCAAATCTACATTTCAGAGTTTTTTCCAGATAAGGCCCTGAGATAAGTGATGATTGCAGCTGAACTTCTAGGTGCCCTCAAGGTGGAAGTTGATTGTTTACCTGGAAAACTCAGATAGCCTCAGGGAACGATGTTTTTTTCTTACACAAAACTCCCTTTGGAGGAGTTAGGCAAAATCTTTTGGTATACTAGTAATATTCCTGTTTCAGATCATCAAGAGGAAAGATTTAATGTAACAGCTTCTGCAGGGAACTGAGGCTGCCTAATTTGAGGGAGTCATGTGGTCACCTTACTCAGGAAAAAACAAGGCTCCCCCATAGGCCAATCTGTTGACTTGTCCAAATAGACTTAGCAGGAAAATGTACCTGGTTTCTTTCAGGTAAGTTTGATATCTCTAGGCAAAATTTAGGGAGATATCCCCTAAGTGTCTATTATTCACGCAGCTAGGACTAGACCAATTGCTACATGGCTCTTCTTCTCACATCTGATCGTCAAGGCTCTCAGAGGCAGGCTCGCACCCATCTAACCCCATTTTTCTGTGAAAAGAAGTTCAAGGTGTTCAGAAGTGGTTCATTTTCTGACTTCGGCTTTTCTGTAAAAGCAGGTCCATGCATCATGTGTGTGGTGGCCATTCAATTTCTTCCCACTTTCTCTAAAAGAAAGCAGGAATCAATCCTGCGGCAACAAGGGCCTTAGAATGGGAGGTGAAAGATAAAGTCCAGGTGTAGCTCTGAGAACAAGACAAGGAAAACTTTTTACAATACTTCCTTTGAAATGGTTAATTACACAAAGTGCTGACCTCCATAGAGTTGAAAGAGAACTGTTCACATTGTTGAGAAAAGGAGACAGAAACCTGGATCTAAGCAGAAGATGGCAACTCCCTGATAGGATGAGTCTCAGGAAGAATGTTGGCTGAAAATCTTGCAGTCGCACAAGGGAAAACCAGGCAGATCTTCTCTGCTGCTCCATTGGCAGGAAATGTTATCACTCAGTGGCACCGGGGAGGGGAGTGGACATGCTCTTTGGGCCACAGAAAAGGTCTTTCAAAGAGGCTTTGACAAACCCTCCAAAAAGAAAAAAAAACAACCCCCCCCCAAACCATGACATATTGGGGATAGAATTGGGAAAGAAATAAATATGCTGGTTACTTTTCATCATTCACTTTTTAAGCAACTGTCACAGAGTTCTCCAAGTTGGTGGCTCTGCTGCTGCCCACTGGTGTTCTCAGAAGCAAAGTGGGAACGCTTTCAAACTCACTTCTCACTCGCCTGGGAAGCCAGCAGCTGCTTTGCACAGGCAAAGGGAGGAGCCAAGACCATTTCTTGGCAGAGTTCCCCTTTTGGCTCTGCAAGCTTGACCAGTTTTATTGTTTTTTGTTTTAGTGTGACTCTTCCCTAATACCTGCTGGTGGGACCTGACCCACACACCACATCCCAGAGTGTGAAGAGAAAGCAGGCAGGGTATTTTGTGAGGCATAGTTGGTCACTTATTATGAAACTAGTACATGGTGGGTTGTTGTTGTTTTTTTAACAAGCCATCTTTAAGTAAAGCATGCTACAGTACAATGTTTAAACTAAGTCTTAATGTATCACATTTTGAGGTCACCATGTTGAGGAAGGCTTATATTGTTTGGAGAATGGAAGGAAATTCAGGATTAGGGAGAAAGAAGTCTATAATTTAGGGACAAGCTTTCCTGCAGATATTCACAAGGGGTTAAATTGGACAGTAGCTTCAACTTGTTCATTTGCTTGGTTCGTTTTCATTAAGAGGAATAGAAACTTGCTTATTTGTTCCCTTCCCTTTTCACTTCCACTTTCACTGTTTGTGTAATCACTTAATCTCCCCCTCCTGTCCTCATAAATCTCTGCTGTTTAAAGAGGCAGCTTGGAGCTCTCCAGATTCCTTCGGGGTCAACTCCCTTCATCCCATCCTAACCAGCCAGCAGTGAGACGTGGCAGGTATTTTCACCCAAGAATAATGGATCCAAGTTTCCCAAACCTCATTTCCACTGTTTGCCTCCATAATGTGAAGGGACAATTCAATGTTATTCACTCAAGAAGAAGCATTAAGGATTACATTTTGGAAAATGTAAGCTCTGCCTCCAAGTACTTTTCTGCCCCTAACATGGTTCTTACACCAGCTTAGAGGATTTAGCCGAAGTGGAAGGTCTTGATCTCCTTCCTGGTGTGCTAAGTGCAATACCCAAGGGAATGCATTCTTACATGTACTGAGACATTATCTTATATGGATTGCTATTTTTTTAGTATTGCAATATTGTAATATCTTGCAAAACTTTGATGGCATTATTAAGATTCCCTGTAGCAGGGCAAACTACCCTTTAATGACTGGGAGCTTTGGGTCATTCGCTGTTTTTCAACCCTGGGACTGTTCTTCCAGCAATAATAACGGGGAGGGTGTGCTGAATGCCATCTTAGGCTCTTGGAGGAAAGGAAGGATGTCAAGTGAACAAAAATATTTTTTTGCAATATTTAACACTTTGAAGTAGAGGGCAACAATATCTGAGCTCCTCATAAAATTATGTAATTGAGCAATGAAAGAGTTATCTGGAATTTCCGTAACATCGCAAGCCTAAGCCAATTATTAGTTGCACTCTCCTAGCAAACAGTAGGGTTTACTTCTCAGTAAATCCCTATTCCAACCTTCTTTAGCAGAACATCCTCCAGATGTTTTAGGACAGCAGTGCCTCCAATTGCTAGGTAATAAACAAATGTCTTCACCATTCTGGCTGGGAATTCCAACATATTTGGAGAGTGCCAAGCTGGGGAAAGCTAACATCTAGGATGGGGCTATAAATCTTATTAGAAGAAAAATTTAAACCCATACTGTGTGTACACAATAACTGCATTAGTGGTTAAGGTTTAAGGCCCTTCAAAGCTCATGGCCTGGTTATCTGCAGGACTGCCTTGTTCAATCATGCCAATCACCCTGTTAGATCTAGGACATCAGGTTTGCTGCAAGGTCCCACATGTCATCTTGTGGGACGTTGGAGATGGGCTCTTTGGGTGTGCGCCCCTCCCCTACTGCTTTATGAGATAGTATACTCTCCAAAGCAGTGTTTCTCAATCTTAGCAACTTTAAGATATGTGAACTTCAACTCCCAGAAATCCCCCACCCAGCCTTGCTGGCTGGGGAATTCTGGGAGTTGAAGTCCACATATCTTAAAGTTGCCATGGTTGAGAAACTACTCCAAAATCTGAGCTACTTTGGCCTTGTTTTTGTTTAAAAACCAAATTTTAAAATGTGGCTTTTTCAGCAGGCCCTGCGCCACAGCAGTTTGGGATTTTATTCCTTGGTGCTTGGTGTTTCCTTCCCTGATAGATCAATAGATACTGGCTGCTGCTGTGGCTTATTATTGTTTCCTACTTGTTTTGTTGTTTTAATACATCCTACATAGCCTAGAGACACTTAGATCAATGTTTCTCAGCCTTGGCAGCTTCCAGATGTGTTCTGAAAGTTGCCAAGGTTGAGAAACATCTGCAAACTGTCAAGATTTGAGAAACAACGGCTTAGATGATTGCAATGTCTTAGATGATTAGGTTATAAATTGAAGAAATAAAGTAATGTTGGTGAGCGACAAGCCAGAGCTTGGCTCAGCAATGCAGCTTGTTGGGAAATCCTGAGGGCCTTGGTCAAGTCTCTCTCTCCACCCCACAGCTACCCCATCCCTCAGCATGATAATATCCAACCACTTAGAAGGCTGACGGGCAGCTGCCTATACATAAAGTATCTTTAAAGCAACATTTCTCTAAAGTAGCATTGACACGTTTATTAGGAATAACGTGGTTTCTTAATCGGAGCAGCTTTCTCTTGCATCCTCCTCCTACTCCAAGTCACGATCTTTGACAACGCGCAGTAGTAAGCATTCTGAGAAAAGGGCAAAAACGTGATCACTACAGAGTTGCAGAAGACTCCCAGGGCCGCGAAGGAGTGCGCGCGCGCAGACCCGAGATCCTCT